TGGTGAAATATATTAAAAACTCCGTCGAGTTCTATGCGATCTCCGTCGAGTTTTTTTAGAGCTATACATTGTCAGGTTTTTTATATAAAGCAGGGACAGTTTCGTCATTTCACGGACCTTGATTTGTAAGCAAAAGAAGAATTTGATCATATAAGTGAAAAATCTGAATTTGAGTCATTTGAGCAAACCTAAAACATTTTTAGGTCAAATAGGTCAAATTCCCAACTTTTACGAGGTTTTGTATTAGTATTATATCAATATTTTAATGGGTCAAATTTCAATATAAGAAACAATTTCGAGTCAATTACGTTAATTGCATTTTTTTAGGTCAAGTATTAGGATTTGACGCACATGTTTAGATCACATAGCTAAGTTACCTCTTCTGTCCTTTCACTTTTTCTTTCTTTTTTTTTTTTGACGGAATCTGTCCTTTCACTTCAAACCAAAGATTTGGAGTTTCAACCTTTAGTGGAGGTTTCTAATGTCTTGAGCTATGCTTAAAGTTAGTCACTAAGATTTTTTTTTTCCCTTCTAGTTCATAAATAATGGGTGTGTTTGGGATTTTTTTCTCTAGTTTATGTTTTAATCCATTGAATTATGTTCAAATTTTATCACTATTATGTAGATTAATTTTATCATTTTGCTGACTTATTAAGAAGAAAAAATCAATGCACACATGAAGGATTAAATAATTAACGAAGTCAGAAAATTATGATAATTATACACTTTGAAGTTTGAACTGTTTTTTCAATTTAATTCCTAACCAATTAAATTTAACATGATAATACAGGGGTGTTCGTAGGTTAAGATACTGTTTAATTGTTCAGATGATAAATTTATTCAATCCAAACAACTCTTATTAAATAATAAACTCTTGTTCAAAATATTGTATTAAAAATTTGAATCAAGATTCATAAGTAAATATTTATTTATTTGGTAAAACACTACACTACAAAAATCTATCAAATTACTGGAGAATAAATAAGGCATAAATAATTATTGAATAAAATAAAATAAAAATAAATCCATCCAAAAGAAATGATTCTAAAATTAATATTAAGTTACCAAATTTATTTTAGATAAATTCTTAAATAATTTTTATTTATTTAAAACCAAACAAACTCAAAGAAGTTTATAACTCAACTCAAATCGTACAAGATAGATTTGGGTTCATCGGATTTTTTAAACGCCCCTACATGATACGCCATGAAAACAAAAACGAATGAGAAACTATTCAATACAACACAGACATCGTATAAAACAGGGAAGCAATTGATTAAGGTTGACAATGTCGTTACAGAACTAAAAGCCTAACTAAAACCAACTCTTCTTCTTTTTCTAACCTCATAACTCAATAATACCATCAGACAACCCCTTTGGACAAAACATTAGAAATTGTACCTCTCCCTACTTGGACTTTGCTAATATCATGCTAAAACTGAAAATTTTTCAACACAAAAAATTAAAAAAAAATTAAAAAAATTACATATTACAAAAGCTCCCCTTGACAGCCCAAAAGAGATTAGAAATACACTTTCGACACCCCGTCCCCATCCCCGCCATGGAAATTAGATTATCAGCTCAACTCGACGTGTTGGGATTTTACTTACTTCCATGGCATGCCAGACATGCCTGGATGGTTGCTGTTGTTGCAGGTTCCGGGGCTGTTGTTGAGGGGGCTGCTGGGGCCACCGGAAGATTCACTCAGCGTCCCGTGTGATGGACTACTCACTCCTCCTCCTGTCAAGTGACCAATGCCGACTGGGTTTAGCATTGGCAAGGCAGAGATGGGTTCGGTTTGGCGCGCTGACTTTAAATCCTTGCTGCTATCGACAATGAAACTTCCCACGACCACCTGCATCATATCAGACCGCAAAATGCAGAAACCAATATCAAGTGAAGAGTTGGAAAACTGAATATAGCAATCAGAAACTGGTCAAACTTTCTGTGGAGAAACCCAAGCGGAGATAATTAAGTGTTTTTCTCTTACGTGATAGCGGAAGTCAACAAGTTTAAGAGATTTTTTCAAAACACAGTTCTTGGGGTGAGGAAGTAAATTTTCATGCATGCTTTACAAGGAAAGAAATGCTAATTCACCTGAACAGGAGATGCAGCCGTGAGAAGACCCGCCACACCACCACCTAAAACTCGGCCATCTGGGCCAGACAAAGACACGCTCAAACCACCAGTTCTGCTCCTCTGACCACAATTTTCAGACAGCAGAAACGAACCTGAAAGTGACAAAATTTCGAATCGCCCCTGCACGATATAGATTGCCGATAAAAACAAAGCAAGCCTAAGCTAGTATATTACCACACACATGAAACACTCTCTGTTAAACTATACATGAGGCACTGCTCACAAACCTCATAAGTAACGGCTCCACCAGATGTAGCAGGTTGACGTAAAGTCACATTTGATATTGCTCCATTTGCAGAGAGGATACAAACAGCCCTAGGGCCATTCTGAGAAAAGGACATTATTTTTGACGATACATCCTGTAAAACCATGTGCAAATCAAATTATTGTTGCTCGGCCAGCAAAAAGGATGGATATGAGAATGAAAAGAAAGTACAGTCGAAGTCCAAATAACATACAAAAATTTACATTCATCTCCCTATCTTTTTTCTATTCATATGAGTAGTTTTTCTTTTGGGGGAGGGGGTGATCAGATAAATGCACCCATGTCTCGCTGGAAGGTTGCAGCGAGATCTTAAGGTCATCTAGCATAATAAAATAAATGTAGAAATAAATCTTATAAAGAATGTTAATAAATCCATCCTGCAAAAAATGGTAATCTTGGTAATGCCATGCACCAATGGAATTAAATAGAAAATAAACAAAAATTAGACATAAACAACATTCAACAAGTTTCTGCTTCTACTCTGTCACAAGTGCAAAAAGTGGCATCGGCACCCCACCTTCTATATTCATAAACAATTCAACGTCACAATGACAGAAACAGTAAGGGCATTCAAAAGGAATTCTAGATTACAATAATTTACCTTTATTATTTGATAAGTGAATGTTCTTCAGAATAAGTATTGTTTTGTCATTCAAGATTCTGATATTATTAAGTAAAAATAATTGGAAACAGCCAGAAAAAAGGTGAGAGCATTTTAAATTAGAACCTCTCCAGCTTTCACATCGATAACATGCGGAGTGAATCCAATACCAGCTGATCCTGCAATTAATTCCTCTGTAAGACACTCAATTTTTAACAAGACCATAAGATGAAATAATTCTCATACAATAGTTTAAAATATAAACAACGGCATTACTTGGACACTAAAGGTCAACCAAAGTAAGATTCTCTTTCTTTTCTTCAGTTGTTGTCTGTCTTGTTATTACAGTGAAACATTATAATTTCAATCTTGCACACTAAAAGAAGCCAAAAAAGGTCAGGAGAAAATTGTGGTATACAAGTAGGAGGGGCTTATTCCACCAGAAAAGGTATGTTTGATTGGTTAATGATCTGACCTGGGATAAAATTTCGTAACGATAATTAGTTTTCCATAACGACACTTAATTAATATTCCCATAAACGCTACAAAACAAATCTGGCCAATCAAACCAGGAGGGAAGGGAAAAAACTAATATCCATTATCATTTTAAGAAACAGATGCAAATGCAAGACAAAAGAAGGGTAAATATGTAACTTCACGATTACAATCCCATCTAGGACCTAACAGAATCCAACATCCAATATATGATATCACCTCTTTTTTCCATATTTTTAAGTCCTCAAGACAGAGATGATGCATACAAATGATAAGCAATGACAATGATTGGGCAGACACAAACTAAATAAACAGCCAATTAGATATATCCATGAGAAAGAAAAACTCAAATAAATCAAATCAACATAGTAAACTGGTCAACTCAAAACTGTTAGTCAATCAATGATATTCCTATGTTGTCACGTGACAGATAGATAATGTTAAAGCTAAGAGCATAACAAACAACAATCAATCACCAAATCCAGAGACCCAACTGGATCTTATCAAGGAAGAGTATTGGATTAGGCGCTTTAAATAGTTACCCAAAGCTTCCAATTGTTGTTTTTTCCTTGAACCAAGTGGCCTGCCTTTAATTTTCTTCAATGAATTTGGGGAGGCCAATCCTCCTTCAGAAGCATGAGCGCCCATGGTTGAAGGAGAAAAACCTCCACTTCCTGAAGGCGGCCCAGAACTCAAAGCTAATGCCATGGAGCCATCGGGTCCATACTTCCTCGGCCTGCCTCTCTTCCTCTTTATTTGCTCGCTTCCCACCGCATTTATGTTGAAACCATGAGGCAACATAGACCCCCCACCGGCCGATCCCTCAATTCCGGCATTACCAGAAACTCCGGCGAGGGAGGATTGGTAGGACGGTGAGGTTGAAGGAGTAATAACGGGATTGTACACGGCTGTGCCATCGGTGCTGAAGGTTAATCGCATGCTTTGGGCCGCCGGCTGCGACTGTAAGGAGCTATTCTGAACGCCGACGCTGAAGGGTTCTCTACTCGTCATCACACCAGTCTCAGATCCCGACATCTTTCCTGATCTCCGTTTCGCCCTTTTGCTAGAACAGAAATTCTCAACAATACCAGGAAATCAAAACTGCAAATACGCCAAGAAAATCTACGTGATCTTGAATCTTCAGCCATAATTTTTAGTACTCCGGTAGAATTCGGAAACAACAGAAGGTAGGATCTAACACTAATGCTGATTTCGAAATATATTTAGTTCGTAAACTGGATTTAACCAAACCACTGCTAGAAATGCAAACAAAGATTAACAAAAACGAAAACGAGAAGATGTTGGTTCACTAATTTCCAAATGCGAAATCAAGCTTAAGTTCACAAGAATTAACAGAAACCCTAACTCCAAAACTCCAACATTTCCTCAAATCTCCAAACAAAATCCAGTAAAATGCAAGAGGAGAAAAATTAAAAGAAAAAAAGCCCTAATAACTTGGAAGCTAACAGAGCATTTTGCTAAAGTACAGAACAGATCATGCAAAACATGAGGAAATTAAATCTTAATAATAAGAATGAAAAAAAAATTGGAAGAAAAATTGAAATAATTTCTTTTTATTTATGAAAAAATTGAAAAAAAAAATTGGGAAAAATGGGAGAAAATTACCACAAACTTACCAGTAAAATAGGGAAAATAGTGGAGAGTGATAATCAGAGGAGAGGGAAAAAATTAGGGCTTTGGAAGAGAAAACGAAGGGTTGGTTTCCAAAGGCTTTTAGGAAAAGAAATGGGGAAATCAGAAATATTTAATTATGGGATGATTTGTTATTTTAAATAATAAAATATTTTATTTCATAATTAGGGATTACTTTCCTTTTAGAAAGAAAATAAAAAAGAAAAAGGAAAAAGGAGCAGGTAAAAAGTGCAATACAGGCGTTGGGTATTTCAAGGTGTAGTTAGGGAGAAGGGACCCTTTGATGACTTTTCCCATTTCCTTTTTTCTTTATATTTTCTTTATTCATGTAAGAATCAAGCATTTAACTAAATTTTGTCTTTTTATTTTTTCTGTTGTTTTTCATTTTTTAAGAAATATTCTAAAAATTGTTTAAGTTTGAAGTTTGAAGTTTGATGATGTAGGAATTTAGTTTTCGTCCCTGCATAGATAGCTCCAACAAACACTTTCAAATATATATATATATATATATATATATATATATATATATAGTTTAAGTTTGATGTCCATTTAGATAACACTTCACACAAATTATGTACTCAAATTATCATTTATTTATAATTTACATAATTAACCTACTCAAATCAGCTTTTTACCTTTCATTTAAGTTTTTCAATGGTTTGAAAATTCGAGTAAATCTCTTGACATTATTTCACAAATAATAATAAATAAACCCCTTGGTATATCGTTGTCCCTGAGTTTTATATTATTTCAGGTTGTGTGTGACAATTTTTTCAACCATTAATAATTGATATGTTCTTTTTTACCATAACAAATAATTATCACATATCACATTGGGATAAAATCAACAAAAATGTATGTGTGTATATATAAATTTTTTTGTGGAAATTTAATACCATTGGTTTTTTGAAAAACTAATAAGACCTTACATTTTATTTATTAAATTAATTTGTTTTGGTTCTCATCCTTCCACATAAATAGGCTATAAAGTCAAATTAATAACATTGACTCTATAAATATTAACACTACAAATATAATGAGTATTTGTGTTGTTTTAATGGTACATTTTATCTTTTAATTGAATTTTAAAATTTAAAGAAGCTCAAAATCAATAAATTTCAATAAGAAAAATAAAACATATATGCCTTACATTGAAACTTATATCGATTCTTTCACATAAATTATAACTTCTTTCTAAATTTCTAATAACAAAGATATAATAAAAATTTCAATTTCCAAACGATTTGTTTGTTTCTATCATTTGGTAGCTCTTTCAACATATAAATATTTTATTTGGTCTCATATACTTTGTAGAATGTAATGGTTGATAGGGGAAGGGCAAAAGAGTAGACCAGGCGACATCGTAAAGATGGAGAAGGTTGACAACAAGCAACCATAAATTAGTTTTTCTTCCACCTAAACCATGATATGGATACATATAGTCATTTTGTTTAGGGGCTGTTTGGTCGAGGGGTTTTTGGGTGAGAATGAGCACGGACAAGTAAAGTCATTGTTTGTTATACATATTTGAAATTTATTCTCAGGCATCCTTTATTCCCATGGATAAAGACTTTCTTTTCCCTCTCGGATTCATGGGTTTGTCTATGAGTTTTGTTCTCCTCTTTTAAATAAATTTCTTTTAATGTAATTATTTACTTTATTTTATTCAAATTAATTAATTAAAATTAGTTAAAATATTTAAATTAAATTTATAATTAATAAAACAACATTAAAATTTTACCAATAATGTACTAAATTAATTTTTCTATTGTAATAAATTAATTTATTAAAGTGTATACTTATTTTTTATAAATAATGTAATTAATTGATGCAATTAATAAGATGAAAATGATTAACTGTGTTAAACACATGGAAGGATAATTATTAAGATCGATGACTAAATTTAGATATATTATTTATAATATATTTATTAAAGAGTGAAACTTAAACATAATTGTTTAAAATAATAATTATTTTACTCAATAAAGATAAATTAATTATTCAGAATTAATTTTGATTGATTTTAAAGCTTTATACAAATATATCATTTTGCTAAATATATATCATTTTGCTAAATATGTATATATTGAATTTTAGTTAAATAACATTTAATACTAATTATTCAATTGATTATTGTGCTAAATTGTTAATTTAAAATTTAGAATGCTAATATAAAATAATTTAATTTATATTATTTATTTAAATTTGATTTGTTATTAATCAATGTTTACAATGACATAAAATGCATATTTATAGAGTAATCACACAAAATAAACATATATAATTTATTTTTAGACATCTTAATCTCATGCATCTTAATTCCGGACATATATACAACTAAACACAATTATCTTTGTTTCCCGGGCGTCTTATTTCCAAGTATTTTAATCTCAAGTATTTTTCTTGAAACCTTGAACCAAACGGCCCTTTAGTTCTTATTTGTCAATAAAATTAGCTATGCTTGGGATTTCGAAACATCTGAACAATTTTCATTTCCATCTATATAGTAGATATCGTCGGAATGTTGTGTGCACTAAATTTATATTTTGATTTTATATTTTTAAGATATCTTTCTTTTTGAAGCTTTGCTCATTAATCTAAAATGTTACGAGTCATTATATTGAATTGTAGTTTAAGTGACCAATAATGTCTTTTTATTGTATATTTGAATTTCTTTCTTCTAATTTATAATGTTACCCTATGTCAAGGTTTAAGAAAATAACAAAAAAATTAGGAAATTTATTTAAAGACAAAAAAAATAATCCACAAAAATGACAAAAATGTTGGTGACGTAAAAACGAAGAGAGAAAATAATCCAAATTTATTTAAAGTTTTAACTATTTAATTAATTTTATCTTTTAATATTTTAAAATAAAATTAGGAAATTTTACCTACATCACACTTGTTTTTTACTGGTATTATTAAAAGGCATGGAAGGAATCAAATAATTATTCCTAAAAAGAATGGAACAAGTTATGGAGTCTTTTACTACTTAACTTCCATTCCATTTCATGATTAATTCAGCCTTTTTAGACCACCAAGACAATGATTTCAAGTCTTGAAAACTTGGGTTGTGTTAGCTAACTTTAAATTATATGTTTTAATGAATTAAATTTTTAAGAAAAAAAAATATTGTTAAACTTCTATATCTATATATTTCTTTTATTATCATTAAAAAAAATAATAAGTAACATTTAGTCCCGTTTGATAAATATTTTATTTTTTATTTTTGAAAATTATACTGGTTAATTTACTCCCAGCTTATTTTTATATTTTAACATTTTGTTGAAACACATTCTTTTTATAAGTATAGGATAAACGAAACTAAGAAAAGGAAACAGAACAATCAGAAACAATTAAAGATGAAACTTCGGAAGGAACCTCCTCAAGTCAAATGTGATCTAACTGTCGAACAACCGCCATTCGTGCTAGTTAATGAGCTACTGAATTACTTTCGTGGGTGAAGGAGAAACGAATCAAACCCAATAAGGACCAATGACTACGAATCTCAGTAAGAAAACATCTCACTTCAATAGATCCTCAGTGTCCTGATTGAGAGATCAGAAACATCGTAAGGAGTCGAACTGTAGAATGATGGGTCGGAAGCTCACCTCACAAGTTAAATGGAGACCACGGAGGAGTGTCAAAGTCTCTACCAGATCGACTGAGGCACAATGGAGAAGAGACGTCGAAGCTGTCAAGAGAAGATGACCACCGACATCACGAATAACACGCCAATCTCGTCACAAAGTGAACCTGCAAGAAAACCAGCATCAATATTCACTTTAATAAAATTAGTAAAGCCCATGGACTTTTAAATTGTCCAAAAAGTTGGCTTTGAAAATGAGCAAAGACAACCGACTTATGGATCATAGCATGAGACCGAGCGTGACAACAACTAACCATGGACGTTAGCTCTACGGCGCCAGCTTCAGTGCTTCGACATATGGCCAAGGTCGAGTAGCTCATGGGCTGGCACCTTGGCCCTTGGTCCATAACAGCTTATTTGTGGGCTAGCTCGAGTGCCTCGACCTCGACGCTAGGCTGAGGCCAATCAACCTGGTCAACCCAATTAGTTTCTAGATTCCAATTCTAATTCCAACCCAAAGGGCTCTCTAAGTCTCACACCTCTGAAATTATCCCAAAAGTCCTAAGAAGATGAAGATTTGCCTCTCTAGAAATAAGAAAAATGGATGTATATTTAAAGTATGCTACAAAACCCTTTTTTTTTTGCGTTCATACAAACCTAATTATGAATAAGCACCATCGTGATTTTTCTTATTTTGTAGGTCATCCTTTTTTAGTTAGTACGAGTTTTGCAAGCATTAATACACAACAAAAACTCTTTAATATAAAGTTACAACTAGATTTCAAGAAATGAATGCACTTCCATGTTGAAATTGTTATCGAAAAATGAGATAAAAGATTGAATAAAAAAACCAAAATAATCCCTTTAAAATACAAAACCAAAACGTACAAACACTATAATAGACCAAAAAAAGAAACACAGAATTTTAGCCGATATTATAATTATGAAAAAAAAACTAAAATAAATAGCGAATAAACAAATTGGAAGAGGACAAATTGTTCAAAAGAAATCTTCTATCTGTAAACTAGTGGAGTTGAGCATGGCGTCTCTTCCTTCTCCCTCACCGAGCGCTGTAATCCAGCGCCCTCGTCCATGGCGGTTCAGAGAATCATCACTCTCCAATGGTAATCTTCTGCACCCATCTTCCTCACCATTTACTTCATGCTCCATTTCAAAGCCCTAACTTCTTGCTTCTTCATTTCAGGAATCGCCATTCATATCCGCTCGAAGTCAAAACCCGGCGTTCTCTGCTCCTGCAACAACATTGACATCTCCGATCCACAGCTCTGGTAACTCGAGCTCTCTTCTTCAATTGCAACCGTTACTTATTTTCTTGTGCAGTTCCAACGCTCGTTCCTTCTGATTGTTCTTAGTTATTGGGCGAGTGGAGTCAATAGACGAGAAATTATGCTAGGGATTGCATTGAGCACGTTTTCTTTTCAAGCTGTGGTTTCTAATTCCTTGGCTGAGAGTGGTACTGATTTTGCCTTTCTTCCTCTCGAGCGTGTTCTCAGAAATTACATTATGATTATCCTCCTTTGGTATTGTGTTATTTGGAGATTGAGTGCATTCAGTTTCGAGTGATAGTTGTTGTCGCTGAGGATTTTCGGACGTACACGGATGAAGCGAATAAGTTCAGATTGGTGATTCCTCAAGGTGTGTGGCTTGGCTCCATTGACGGAGCTTTTCGTTTAGAGAATTAGAGATTAATCGAGTTAATTGATTAGTTGAATTTGTGCGATTTATGTAGATTGGGTTGTGGGTAATGGTGAACCGAATGGATTCAAGTCGGTTACGGCTTTTTATCCCCAAGAAACTTCAAGTTCCAATGGTATTTTCAGATCTTCTCCCCAGTTCTCTTCCTGCCTCGTTAGTTTTGAATATTTTGATAAACTGAAATCTGGTTCAGTCAGTGTTGTAATCTCGGGGCTTGGTCCTGATTTCACGAGAATGGAATCCTTTGGCAAGGTTGAAGAATTTGCTGATACCCTGGTATGAATTTCATATCATTTTGCAGTTTCTGAATGAAAATATAATAGCCAAAATGGGTTCTCTTCCTTTGCAGTCTTTGAATGGAAATAGAAAGCCAAAATTTGGATTTCCCTCTTCTCTTTCAGGTGAGCGGACTGGACAGAAGCTGGAAAAGGCCACCAGGTGTGGCGGCGAAACTTATAGACTGTAGATCATCTAAAGGTAAGTGGCACATAAAAACTTGTTTATGAAACATAGTAGGATTTGTCAACAAGTTGTCCTGTTGTATGGCTTTTTTACCATAGCATTTCCAGTTCTTGATACTACTACTGCGTTTCCTAGTATGTTATCAAGAATTAGATTGGTGTTTTTAATGTCATAATATAATGAATGGGGTTTGATTTGAAAATTTTGGCAGGGATATATTACATAGAGTACACGCTGCAGAATCCAGGTGAAAGCCGCAAACATTTATACTCTGCAATTGGGATGGCATCCAATGGCTGGTACAACAGACTTTACACCATAACAGGACAGGTGACTTGCTCAAAAACACTTATCTTGTTCTTTACTCTGTGTTTTAGTTCATAGTCTTTTCATATAAAAGCATTTTAATCTTGAAATCCTTTTTTTTTTTGGTGAACTGTTAACCAAAAACCTTGCGTAATCTTTTCTTTATTTGCTACATGGACAATCGTATTTAAAACCACTTGTAGTAGATCTTTGGAGGTTTAAACAGGTTCGAGTTAGTATAGAAAATTAATGGCAAGGACTAGAACAGTTTTTGGTGCAAAGTTAAGAGATTAATATAGAACATTTGATAGTTGAATGACTTAAATGATCGAAATTGAATGAATATAAAAGCAGTGAGACCAAAATAAGATTTAAACATAGCTGGAAAATCATTATTTTCTCATTTTCATAATTATTGGAATGTTTTCTGTAGTATGCAGATGAAGAATCGGAGAACTATAGTTCCAAAATTGAGAAGGTGAGTGAGAGATACTATCCCAAGGGACTTTTTCTTCTTCTTCTTCCTCCTTTTTTTTTTTCTAATTTAATTTAAATAAATAAATAAATTATTATTATAATAAAAAATATAGCTAATTATTACAATATAACGATTTGCAAATTATTTTAAAAAATAAAGCTGTTTTAATTCTCCGCCACTAGCTATGTAGCCACTTTTTATTTTATTTGTTTTACCATTAGATTTTCTTTTTAATTAAAAAAACTTCCAAGGTCGTGATTGTTCGGTTTCAAAAGTTTTTATGAAATATTTTTGTCAAAGACAGGTGCTTTAACTAGTTGAATTGCCCGAGAAGAGAATGATGTTGCAGGAGACTATGGAAAAGATTTTGCAAATCAAGATTTTAAAATTCTCTCCGGTGGGTACTTCTATAATTTTAGAGATTAAAATATATTTTTTTATATGTTTTAGGGTTTTATAAAAGAGATGTCAAATCTGATTTCAGAATTCAGAGTTAAAAGAAATATATGCCTGGGAAAAGATCTCTGCCTCCACAAATAATAGCCGTTCATTAGGGAGATCATTTTTTAAAAAAATAAAGTTATCCACATGGTTTCCGCATGCAGTGATTTTAAAAAGAATATATATATATATAATTTATGAGGAGACGATGAGTTGGACTAGATCGTCTCTTGGCATAGAATTAAAACAGCATTATTTTTTTTAAAAAAATAGTTTGTAATTTGTTATATTTTAATAATTAGTTATATATATTTTTTATAATAAGTCCCTATCCCAAGCTTTAGTTATTAATTTCCATATTATCCATTCACTGAAAAGTGGGAGTGAACATTGGCTTTGTAGGTCGTCAATTCCTTCTCTTTCATTTGATGAATTGCAGTACAGGTCTCCGCTACACCATTGGTTATGGGGTTAAAATTTTTTCACCTTGGCTCCCAATTATGCTGCCTTTTCTTTTTGTTCCATTTCTTATTGTGATAATATAATATATATATATATATATATATATATATATAAATCATGCAACATCATGCTTATTTACTAACAAATTTATTTCTTTTTTAATATACTTTTTAAAATGTTTTTGAAGTCCTAATAAAAAAGTTGTTTGATAAAAAGGGATTAAAATTACTTGCCAAGTTCTATTTGAGCAAGTTAAGGTCTGATTTCTTCTCATTATTAATTTTTTAAGTTCAACCGAATGACAGATTGAACTATTAACCTTTAAAATAATAATAAACTTAGATCTCTAATGCTAATTTTAACATCAATGTTAATTTAATGCTGTCAACAGAAGAAAACAATCACAAGAGTATTAAGGATAAGACAATTTGCAGTTGATCATTAACAATATCTTATTTATCACGTTAGTTAATTTTATTTTACCAGTAGTCATTTGACATAATTAATGTTGGATCCATCACATCCAACTACATAATTTCTGCAAGTAATTGATGGAATATAATAATGCAAATTAATGATTTTCGTAATTAACCAATATTTAATAACCGAATTGGTCAAATATAGGTTTACCCATGTCGCAAATATTATTATATTAGACTGCAACGCATGTGACACTGGAGAAGTAAAAAAAAAATTAAAACCAATTTCTAATAATCCAAAATCTTCTTCCTCAGCAATTCTTAGAGTCAAATTTATGGTCCTCTTTCCTTGCCATATAACAATGTCTCTAATGCTTGTTTGGAATCCATTAAAAAATAATCAAGGAGGAAGAAACAAACTCAGAAAGAATAATTAAAAGTCGACTCTATTCCAATGCTCTCGTCATATCCCAAAACTTGTTCCCTTTGCACTTTGGAAGTCATTTTATGGGTACTTTCATGGCATCATATCACAATAATGGTTTGAAAAATCCTACTGCTTCCACTTGACACATTCCCCCAAATAAAAGAAAACAAAACAAAGCTAATAATGAGGGGGAAAAGAAAAATTAGTGTTCCCACAACAAACACAACGAATAAACAAAATGTTTTCGAAACCTAACCATTGTCCAAATACTGTTAAGGAAGAACTAAAAACTGTACATCCTCGGATGCAGCCAATCCCAATCCAGCACGCCATCGAGGGGTACTAAAACCGATAAAATCCAGCAATTCGATCCTTCCCAATAGAGAACCTGAAGCTGCTTCGTTGTTATGAAGACAGGCAGGCCTCAAAAGACATCCAAATTATGGAACTTTCAGATTACAATAAATCCTAACACTAATATGCACATGAACTTATGAAATCATATATTAGTATCAAGATGATGATAGACCCACGACCACACAAAGCACCAGAGACTTTCCTATACACCCAAAATGCTGGGAGTTTACTATAAAAGAATCATATGTTGATTCTAATTTTGACTTCTTTTTACACAGTTTTATTCCTAAATGGATGCTTAAAACCGATTCAAGCACGCATCAATCAATCCATGACTACCTGCCGCTCATCCAGAGCTTTGGTAGTGTATTAAAAGTTTATAAACACTATGGGGAAAGAAAGGTCCTCAGAGGAAGAGCAGCCTGCATCTTCCGTGTTCCTTCTCCACCATCTCGAGCGACTCAAGACCATCTGACGTCTCTGGTGAGCATGACTATGACCTGCAGTTATGTGAGAGAACTTTTAAATCAACTTCAAACAATGGGAAGCAATATTTATTCGTGTTTACAAATCAATCAATATTCAACTTCACACACAAGCCTCGGTCTAATGAGATAACTCTGAAGCGCCAATTACGGAACAACTGAACTGATATATATTCAACACAGACTAGAATATACTATTCAAAACAATCTCTAATTTGCAGGTCATATTGAAATGTATCCCATAAAGAACCCATCAGAAGACAACAAACGTCATAATAAAAAAAAGCAGTATCCATAACTGTATGCTTCAACAAAATGGTTAAGAAAAATACGTCAGGAGCAACAACTGTTCATGTCCATGGACAAAAACATATAACAGATGGCAATAGCATTGTCTTACAAGCATCAAGACAAAATATTCGACTTGTTCAGCCAAGGTTGTAAAAGAACATACATATCATAAGATGTTACACCATCCAAAAACCTCCTTCAGTATTTTTATTTAGACTAAGATAAGACAGGTAATAACGAGCATAAGACTACCTCTAGAATGCATGATAAATTATTTGCAAGGCTAGATCCGAAGCCCGCCACTCAAGTAGCAGTTCCGCTGCTCTAAGTCCTGCTGCAATCTATGGATACCTATAAATACAGTAAAATTTCATGTGGTAGAAAGTGCTGGTGAATGGTGATAAAGATAGGACGGGAAATATCAAGTATTTACTGCAAAATGTGCTGCTTACCCTGATCAACTCCTCACCCAGATGTTTGGTCAGAACCGCTACCTTGTACAAACTGAGAAGGAGAATGAACAACGAACTGTGGTTGTGCTGCAACAGGTGCTGGAATCCCTGATTAAACACGCATTTTCCTTAATCAAGCATATCTAACATCTTAAAGCATATTATTTTAGTTTTCCCTTATTCTTCATCAGATGATAAAAGACATGGTACATGTAAAACAAACGGAAATGTGACCTGAATTGACTTAAGCAACGAAGATATCTCAATAAATTATATCTTAAATATTCTGTAGTAAACCGAACTTTTCTTCATCATCAGTCCCCATGGATCACTGGCCATTCAGTTCTGAATTTCAATATCCCCATAAACGGCCTCCCCTTTCGTTGCACTCTCATTCCTCTTAAATAAAATAAGTTTTCATAGGAAAAAATATTTCAAAATAATCTTCAATATTACCGCATAAGATATACAATCTTGGGTTCACTGTCAGTATATTGGTGACATTTTAATGCACAGAATAATTTTTTACTCTTCATAGAGTACTATCCATTTTATTCAACACATAATTATGCCAACACAATGGTTGAACACAAGTTGAATAAGCACACTTCTTTTAGATTAAAAAAATATGCACTTTTAATAAGTAAATTAAGGAAACAAAAATGGCCTCAAGAAAAAACCATAAGGCCAAATCAAAGGATGGGCTAACGAAGACTATACAATTACACAAAATAGATCCAATGGTTGGTAATAAAGATACAAATGCGAAGGAGAATACCTAAAAAAACTGGTCTAAACATATATTTTAGCTCAATGATGCAATAAAGAGAGGCCTTCATATTATGACAAGAAAGAGTTCCCATACATAGCAAAAATACCTGAAGGATATGGTGCTTGAATAGTAGGCACTGGAGAAGATGTTAGCGCATTGACATTAGGACCACTAAACTGCACAATCTGAGGACTCGGCATTGCATATCCATGTACTGTTCCATATCCATGACCACCAGGGACCGTTTGACCTAATTGTCCATAATGATAAATAGCAGGGCTCGTTGACCCAGGCATTCCATATATCTGCAGGTATTGCTGACCCAGAAAAGGGTTGTATCCACCCTATCCAAAGGATGCAAGCACGGGAAATCAGGAAAAATGAGCATTATATGCAAGCAGTAAGCACTATCAAACTCCTTTAGAACCCTCTAAAGATACCCTTCATATCACATTATCTCCCTTCCCCACTTCCAGTCTCAGCACACAAAATTGCGCACACAAGTAAATAAAGCAATTGGAGCAGTGATACCTGTGGGTAGATGTACTCAGGTCCATATGCAGCATACCTGCATTAAAAAGGAATGATTGAAAACATTATAAATACTTCAGAGAAATAAGATCATGAAAGCAAAAATCTAGAAGGTAGTACTACAAATCCAAACAGGTATGGGAATTTAAGTGGTGGAAATCATTTTACAATCCAAAGTCCCTGGTTATTTGAATATTACGATACAAAGAGATAAGTGCTTGGATCCCAATTGACTAGAGTCTAAAGTGGTCAAATCCTATCAACTTGATCTCTTGTATAAACTACGAATACAAGGGGAAAACATGAGATGGGGACTTGTCAATTAATGCTGGCCATGATTCTTCCCATTCAATTACATTCATCCTGGTACATATCCTCTGCGAATACCATCTATGATATTCCTGCAATTACCAACCACGTCACATCACTGATCAGGATATGATCAACCCTGAATTCTAGAAGGTGACAAAGTAACCTATCCTAAGGACTTTCGAATGTTGTGATTGGTACCTCTTATGACTTTAAAGGTAAATATTAACATTAATTGCAGAGGATATGTACCAAGTGATGTTCACCAACCATCTTTAGAAGTAAAGTAAAATAGGATTTAAGGTTCATTTAAAGAACAAGCAATGTATACAGGAAACGAAATATCAAACCTAAATGCTTATATCTGCATTTCAATGATTACTGGACAACGTTTAACATTTATTATAAGAATTGATGACAAACAGAAGAAAACAGTAACTAAGATATCATAAATTTGAGATTTTGAAAGCGAACTCTAGTCATATTGCAAGATGTAAGGGTTGTGATATAGCAGAAAGCAAGAACGCTGAATTAAATAAAAGAATGAAACTTGAATCAATTGGCAAGCTCGGATGCACAAAGAGGAACCTCGGGGACGCACCCATAAGGAGGATATGCAAGTCCCTGCTGATAAGCATAAGAAACCGGTTGCTGATAGCCAAAATTTCCAATAAAAGTTCCCCTGTTGGGCTGCATGCCTCCAACATATGGTGCAGGCGGTCTTAGACGTCCTGTAAGAAACAACAGTGCAGAAGTAAAGATTGATCAATTCAGAGCTTCCAAAGCCTCGAGTCAGAATTAGTGGCTGTTTTCAGTATAATATTTTTACAAAATGAAAATAACGGGGGAAAACCCTGATCATACAAATACACATGACAAGAACTAACAATGCAATTTCGTAGACGACCTCATAGTTTAAAAAGACCAAATAAGCTAATAATACCATAGGATATAGGTGGCCGAGGCCGGCCAAGTGAAGCCAGATTACAATTTGCTCGCCTGCCATCAATAATTGGAGTGGGATCAGCACAAGCTCTTCTAGCAGACTCTGGATCACGGAAAGTCACCTAAAACCCTCCATGTAAACAGGAACAAACGTTCAGGTCATTCAAATGTCAATAACATACATCTTAATGTCAGACAATTAGATGCAACTCGTGACACCCGTGCTCGAAAAACGTGTCAAAACGAATGTTCTTGGATTATGACTTTTTGAAAGTAGAAAAAAAGACACGGCTAACAAAAACCCAAAAAAAAGTAGCGAAAACTATTAATACTCACGAAACCATATCCTTTGGATCTCCCTGTATTCTTATCTGTTATGACAACAGCCTCAAGAATCTCTCCAAACTGCTCAAAGTGGCGCCTCATAGTTTCGCTCTGAGTCTCCCAGGCTAATCCACCAACAAAGACCTTGGTGTAGGTGGTATCACCAAAAGGAGAGTTCAAGAACCCAGAACTGGTACTTGATCCAGATATCGAACTCGGGCCCGGAATATGCTGATAAGCCATTATTAACGAGAAAATTCAAGAGACACAAGCAAAAAAGGAAGGACAAAAGAATACAACGCTGGGGAGACAATATAAACAGAGACCCAGATGGAAGATTCGACGAAATTGGAAGGAAACTAGTAGGGGGCAGAGCGGAGAGGAACCCGCATCACATAGTAAAAGCAAACCCCTAGGAAAACCCCTTTACAAATTGTGGAGATATTATATATACACACACACACACACACACAAAGGATCAGCAGGAATCTAAAGGGGTTGGAAGAGGAGGCTGCGGGAGGTGTGATCAAGAGAGAGAAGAAGAAGGAGAGAGAGGAAAGGCGAATGATGAAGAAGCCCAATAAGAATCATAATTAGAAAAAGGGAAACCCTAAAAATGAATCAAAGATTGGGGGATGGGATGGGCCAAAGATGAACAGGGGTGGGGGAAGAGGAGGTCGGTGATGGAGGGCAGAGAGAGAGAGAGAGAGAGAAATCTAGGGACCGTACGATGAGGCTGGATTTGTACGGGGGAAAAGTGGGAAGACGGAAATGGAATCTGGAAGGAGAAGTATGATCATGATCATGTTTGTCAGATTCATGTTCATGTTCATGTTCATGGGGAATACCAAGTTGGCGGAGGCGGAGGTGGTGGTGATGGCGGCGGCGGCGGCGGCGACGGCGGAGGAGGAGAGGGGAAGGGGGAGGAGGAGGAGGAGGAAAGGGTTTAGAAATTGGTTTTTCATGGCTGTGTGTTGTAGTTTTGTGTTTTGTTGTTGTTGTTGTGATTGACGGACCGTCGAGTTTTACGGGATTTCCATTCGGATACTCCCCAATCCTCACACCGTACTCCTTTTCTTACGTTTTAATCCCATTTCCATTTTCAACATTAATTTTCACTTTATTATTATTATTATTTGAATACAACGTCTGGACGTGGAGGTTTGAACTCGTGACTTTTTTATCAGAGATAAGTGTCTTAACCACTTGAGTTCAGCTCGGTTTGCAACCTAAATTTATTTATTGTATTTGTTACGGGTATAATTATATTTGAATAGGCAGTTAAGGAAGTGATGTGAGTTGGGCTAATTAGACTCGATTGAGGAGAGATCATGAATAGGAGGCATGTTCTAACTCTTTGCTATTCTTGACGAAATCTTTTGTTAGTTTAGTCATCAAATTGTATTGGACTTAGTAGCATACCAACGTGCATATGTGCAAAGACCTTTTGTCGTCTAAATACGGATCCATATTAGCTACATGTATTAGAGTTATGGATATGAGTAAAAATGGAGAGCAATGAGTATTTTTTATTTTTATTTTTTTGGTAAAAACAATCTAAGGATAATTGATTAGATTTCACCAACTATATGAATCAAATTGAAATTAAGTTGAGACCGTATGAAGAAAAAAAATTCAAGTGGTAGAAATCAAATTGAAATTAGACTCAAATCACATGGACAAGTGAAACTTAAAAAAAATTATTCACATATACGTTGCGAATATTATTCTTATTTATTTATTTAGTGGTTTTGTTTAATTTTGTATTAATACAAACTCATATTAACTGCATGTATTATAGTTTGGATTTGGTTGAGTAAATTTTTTTGTGGATAAAAGCATTTAAGGATGATTGGTTAGATTCCACCAATCAAATTGAAATTAAGCTGAAAAAGATAAGAAATATTTTTAAATTATAGAAATTAAATTAGAATTAGATGCAAATTATAGGAACAAGTTTTATGTAAAAATATATATATTTGAATCTATTAGATACCATTCTAAAAAGCATACCCACTAGATTCATAATTTAACCAACATAATATTTGAAAATATGGATGAAAATAGAATAAATATGGAAAATAGAAAAGGAAAAAAGAAGAAAAGAAAGAAAAGTAATAGTGGAAGTGGAACTTTATTTATTTATTATTATTATTATTATTATTTTTGAAGCAGGAACTTTATTTAAAATTAAAATGAATTGAATTGGTATTTTTGTGTGAGAAAGTTCTCAACGGACAGCTCGAGAGTTGGTCTACGTGTGGGGTCCATCTCTCTTCATTGCCCTTTCCTTTTAACACCTTTTTCCATGCACCCTCCTAATTCTTCTTCCTTTTTTTTTATTTTATTTTTCTCAATTTGATTTTTTATTTTACAACAATATAGTTACGGATTTGAATCACTGACTTTTTTATTTTTTAAGATAATAGTTTCACTTCTATACCTTATTCATATATTACAACGACGGGTTAAACTATAGGCGGGTGAGACAATCGTCTAAGACTTCCAATTTTAAAAGGGTTTCATATTGATTTTTCATATAATTATATACTATAATTTTGCTACCTATCTATTTTAGTTTTAATTATAAACAAAATCTAAAATATAAAATAATATACTTTTTCTAAAATTTTCTTATAATATTGAAACACTATGTATATACTTCACTCAAAATAAAAAATTTATGATTAATAAATTCATAAATTTATATAAATAAAAAAAACTCTATAAATATATCATATAGGTCAGGTTAGATTTATTTCAAGTTTAGGTCTCTCCATTCCTTTCTCATTCTCTCTTCAATCTCAAAATTTTCATCCTTAATTTTGGTCTCACAATTCTTTAATATCAATTCCAGAGTAGAAATCAAAGCTTTATTTGTTCAAATCAATGTGGTGGCTTCAAAATTTTAGGTTTCGTTTTGTTCAGTTTTTTTCTTTTTATAAAATTTATTTATTATTTTTTATTGTTCAATACCTTTATATATGATATTTGTTTTGATTTGCATACTTAAAAAATCAATATGTCAATAAGAAAATATGAATCTGAATATAAACTTAAAAGAAAACAAGAATAGAAAACTCATTGAATCTAGAAAAGGTCTTCCATAAATTTTTTATTAGATTTAAAAGTAATAAAAATGATGAAATAATGGATCAAATGATAGAGATGGACAAATCTAACGATGTAACAAAAATAGTAGATAATGATATGGTTGAAAATGAAGCATGTAATTAAATAAATTTTAACTTTACTATATTACGGTCTCTTTATCAAAATTTTGCCTAAGATCCCATATCATATCGAGTCACCTTGCATATAACAATCTTACTCTCTATTTTTTTTAACTCATCCCTTACATTAAAGTAGTGATTGTCATCCTTCAGGAAAAAAAGTAAAAAATTAAAGTAGTGATTGTCTATTCGACCGTGGTTATTATTTTTTGCCACATTTCTTTTTTATTTTTCTCTAAAATTCGTGTAAGTCATTGTGCAATTCATAAAATATTTCACCTTTCAAATTTATTCAAAAACTAATTTGTGCAACCGGAGGAAAGCAGGTCTCGAAGAACGAGTAAAGTCGTGCAAAAACATAGGGATATATCAAATAAGAAGCAAGATTCTCTCTTATTGACTAACTACAACAAGCTCGCGACTATAATAGAAACAAAGAGTAAACTATTCTTTATTCTATTTGCTTGCAATGTTATACCGAGTTGGTGAATACTTTTGTAACCTTAGACTCGTTACATTGTTTGATGAACTCGTTGGTTTTGTGTCTACCGAAAGTATGTTATCTTCTTCAACCATGTTGGTGGAGTGACTATATGTCCATCTTTCTAGGTCCTAAGTTTAATTGTAAGAATTTTTAAAGAAATATTTTTTAAATAAATTTGAAAGTTATAATATTTTAAAAATAAGTTTTAAAATTAGTAATATTAAAAAAAAAGTCCTCAATCTACCCATAAAATTCTATGGGTATATGTTTGAATAAATTTTAATGTAAAATGATATTTTGTAAACAATAGAACTTAACCTACAGAAGTTTAGGGGCATTTTGAATAATGTAGCCTGAAATCAACTCATGGTTAACAAATTTTTAATTGAGATAATTAGTTTTTTTTTTAAAAAAATATTTGATGTTTTCATTAATAATTTGACTAAACAGTAAAAACATCTTCTGTTTCAATGAACACGATCCACTTAGGAGTCTTAATTACTATGTTTTATAGTTTTTATCTATCAAGCCATTGAAGCAAAATTTGTCACTTAACTAAAGATCGAGATCGAGATGGGTAATCACAGTTCGGTAATATGGGGATTAATACCAAATTTTATAGGAATACTTTAATATAGCAATGGTTAAATTACAAATTTGATCCCTATAATTTTAAAATTTTCAATTTAATCTTGTTTTTTTTATTCAACTTTAAATTTTGATATAGGTAACTAACATAGTTAGATAAAGCATTAAAAATAAAAGATTGATATGAAAACCATGGATATAATTTGTGAAATTTAACTAAATCATAACGACAAGATTGAAATTATATCTTAATCATACGAATCAAATTTATAATTTGACCTATAATATATTATCCTAATTTTATTTTTTCGTTACGAAAAGTATATGTATTAAATTTTGATAATCTAATTTTATTACAATATATTTTTCAATTGATGATACTGTCTTTTCTTTATTAGGAAGGTCAACTAATTATTTAATTTAATTTTTTTTGAAATAATGACTTCTAAGTACAATTTCATTCCTTTTTAGTTTAAAATGCTACTTTCAAGTATTGGTTAATTTTAATAATATTTTATAGAAAATATATATACCTTATTATTAACAATATTCCATAAATGGGAGATAAAGTTTAATAAAAAGATACTATGGTGAATTTTAAGGAAAACTGAAATATTTTCATTACAAAAAAAAGAAAGAAAGACAAAACAAGAAACGTAATGGACTAAATTGAAAAAACACCCAAATTTAGAAACAATTGGTTGAGCCTTCCTCTTCCTCTAAAGCTGCTAATGCTAAATATGGCCTCTTGTTTGACTATAGTGCTTGAAGCTCTTCAACCACAAGTGACTTGCTCTCTTGTTCCTTTACCACAAGCAAATAATTGAAGAGAGAACATCCTCTTTAATTTTGTCAAACAAATCCAACCAATCAAAAATACACAAACTCTATCTGTCTCTTGTTCCCGTGCAATAAGAATGTTGTTGGTTATAAATGAGTCTATTGTACACAGTAAAATTAAAATGGTTATGTTGCACGGTATAAAACCCTGTTAGTAGAGAGATTTTTAGTTCTATCGTTGTTTTGGCTTTATCAATTTATTTGGTCTTTATAGTTGTATGTTAATAATGCATTCGTACGGGTATGGGGTAATCTCTCTGAGGAGGTATACACGTCTCAATTCTTTTGGTTTCATTGATGTTGAACATCTTGACTTTGGGAGCCATCTACACAAGTCCTTATATGGTCTCAAGCAAACTCTTAGCCTCTTGTGCTTGGTTTAAGTGTACTTTCACCTCTCGTATTGTATTTGATTGATTTTTTGTCCATCTTCAGTTGATTCGTCTCTATTTGTTTGGCATGCTAGAACTTCTATTACTTTCTTCTTTAGGTTGACGACATTCACGACCAATCTCGTATTTATATGTTTGTTTCTCCACTTCAAAACTATTTTGAGATGATTGATTTGGGTGTTCTTTGGTACTTTCTTGGTCTTGAACTTGCTGTCGAAATATCCATGCCTTGTCTTGTCGCCAATTGTATAGAGATCGTCTTGTCATTCTTGTTCAATTTGAATAATTGTCATGGAAATATGTATCAATTTCACAAATAATTAATCTCAAAAGAGAGTGATACATGTCATATAAATGAGGATAATTATTTCCATTGGTACGAGGTTTTTTTAGTGAAACCAAAAGGATACTTCAAATACCATAATCTCGTCTAAGCCACAAAGGTACCATAATGTCGTCTATGCCACAAGTTGACCGAAATCATGCATCGATTTTGTTTGTAACAACAATTATATATACCAACTCAGTGTATGGTGTAATTTCACGACCAGAAAATCATGAATTCGAATTCCCACCTCACATTTATTATAATAAAATAAATTATTAGTAAAATAAGATGCAAAGAGAGCCAAACCCCCTATTGGATGACAATCTTATTGTTTTTATTTATTTAATGTGTAAAAAGTATTTAGAGAGAAGTTGCATTTCCTTAAAAACAAATCAAATCTATTTATAAAATATCTAAATACTAATAAATATATAATATTGTAATTTCTTTTTCAAGTTGGATTTCTGTAATGAACAAAAATATTTTTTAAATTTTCAGTAAATTATTTTCCGTAACTATAATTCTTATAAAGAAAAAGAATAATATACATTAATAATTACTTATTTATATATATTTATATTTATACGGTAAAGTCAATTATCCTTCTTATATAAACTAATATAAATATATGTTTAAATATAGCCAAAACGAGTATAACTCAACAATAATTGACATATGTCTTTAATCAAGAGGTTATGAGTTCGATCTCCCACCTCCACATGTTACTAATATATATACATATATATACTAATTTGTTCAAAATATCTTTATACCAATTTATGTATAAATATATTTTTATAAAAGAATAATAATTGCAATTTGTTAATTCAGAAACCGAACACACAAACAAAATTATAACTAAAACCCAACTGACCATCAAATAATAAATATGTATAATTTTTTCTAGTAGAGTGGAGATTCGAGCTACAATTACCACATAACTTTGATAAAAAAAAAAAAAGTTACCATATAACTAAGCTTATGTTGCAATAAATAATCTTTTAAAAACATGTTATAATTCCAAGAATATATATTTGTATTTTGTTTTTTTCTTTGAAAGCGTACTCAAAAGATTTTTTTTTTTTTATAAGTGGAGATTCAAACTCTCAACTTCATGGTCAGATATTAACCCACTGAGCTGGTTGATCATATTGACAAGATTTTAAATTTGAGGTAAAATACACTTTTGATGGCTGAGTTTGAAGATAGATTTCTATATAACCACTAAGTTTTAAAAAGTGATACTTGATCTCTAACCTTTACAAAATAATTCTAAAGAATCCCACGAATCTAGGTATCATATTTCTCTCTTGTTTCCCTCTTCTCTCTCTCTCTCTCTTACCTCCTACGAACCGTGACCCAACCAGAAAGAACATCGACCTTGACCTCGACCACAAAAGAACCTATGTTTTACACTGACATCTTGCTCACAAAAGCATCCATCATGTTGAAACCAAATTGGAGAGATTGCTAAATGGTGATCTCATTGACAAGAGTACAAATTAAACAATCCCCCAACAAATTATATCCAAATTGGAGAGATTCCTTCCGGCAGTATGAGCAACACTCGTTTAATTTTCAACGACTTGATGCAGATTCTGCAGCTGAAGCCACTAGTTTTTCCATGACATGAAACCCAAGACAAAGAATCCATCAAGAAGAGAATTGGATTCAAAGAATGTGACCAACAGGCTGTCCAAATTCTGTCGAACAACGAAATCGAGCGAACCTCCAACCCTCTGCTCAAGTCCACGCTTCCGTGCTGTCTGGATGCAATTTGGATAAAATTTCAGCTGGATCTTTTTAAACATTGGTTTTGAGGTCGATGTACCATCAGATTGGGGTCACAGTTTAGGGGGACAGGGCAATGAGAAAAAAATAATATAAAATTAATGAATGTCCCCCTCATCAATGCCACATCAACATTCCATTAGGGACCCTAACTCTAATCAAAGTTTGACTCCAAGGATCTTTTAGAGTTATTTTCAAAGAGTCTGGAACTAAACTGTCAGTTTTTGAAATATGGGAACAAAATAGAAAACTTTGTTTGAACTCGAGGATCAAAAGTGGATTTTACCCTTAAATTTTCATGACAGGTGAATTGATATATCTAAAAATAGTAAAAAATCAACAAAATGTGAGAAAAATATCAATAAAACATGACTAATACGAACATAATAAAAATTTGACTTTTTTAATTTATTTTGTTTTTGTAGAAATAGCTATTGACATTAACATATTTTTATCACATTTTGTCAGTTAGCATTTTATCGACATTGAGAATCTTGACTATTCATTCCAGATTCTCCCTGTGCCAATAAGCATTTCTCCTCCCATTTGTGAAGCTAAACCATTTTGAACACAAAGAAAACAAGGGAAACTGAATGTATGAATTTTTTTCTCCTGAGTTGTCAGCTACAAGAAACCCTTTCCAAACGGTTGTAAATTTGGATACATCTATACCTCTAAAACAAACTCAACCATAAAAACGATGCTTCAAAATTTTTAGTGAAAGAAATAAACTTCTCACCTACAACCAGGCCGAAAAAGCGATTTGGATCCCATTAATGGTCTACACTACACAATCAAAAGAACATTACTCATCAAATGTATGTTTCTATTGTTATTCTTAATATTTCTTAATATTTGTGAGTGTTCAAGGCAATGTACAATTAACCTTATAGACAATCACCTAACACTACAACATTTCATTGTCGGAAAACATTATAAGTGATCATTGTGGGAACAGCCTCCAACTAAGATTAACCAATCGCCCAAAAGTTAAATAAAAACAAGTTCTTATCTGCTTACCATAATATTAGATAGCTTCAGTCGAACAACTTTTACTCCACAGAAATGTTAGTAAAGAACTCCATTTAGCATGTCACAAGAAAAATCTTCTGCGGCTCGTGTCCATTTCAGGCTGGAATTTAAAGGAAGTTAAAGAAAAAATTAGACAAATAGGATGGATCATGATATAATATCCATGCATTTCATATTGAAATCCTAACAGAGAAGAGACAGTAAGACTTACCTTATGAACCCACTCATATTCCCCGCCTTTAGAATCAAAGGTCCCATGCTGCAAACTGATCAATTTCATCGTGAAGCGAGGACCGCATTCCTAAAAATGAAGACTCACAATCAATCAGTCAGTTGTTTGTTACTATGCTACTACTCCCCCTCATGTTTTGTTTAGTTTTATTTTGTTCTAAACTATTTCTCATGTTTCTCATAATATCACTTTCTCATTCAAACCTAACCACACCAATCAAAATTGATACATATATATATATATATATATTTATTCTTTTTTTAATAACTGGGAGATGGAGCTTTGCTCCCCCCCTATACTCAGGATTACCTGCATCTGTCCCAAAGCCTAGACCCGAGAGGCATCAAAGGTTTTTGGTATTAAACTCACCGGAAGGTTCGAGCTTGAGATCTCTACACTGGTATGACCAAGAGACCCCAAGCCCTTGACAACTGGGCTACCCTTGGGGCAAAATTGATGCAAAAATATTAACATGACAATTTTGATCACTCTACGTGAGGATGTGCTTGCCTACTAGATCGAATTTGCATAGGAGCAAAAATGCCTTCTAATTTTCCTAAAAAATAATACTAACCTGAAGCCGTGCAATTACTTTCTGCTGAGGAACTTTCTCACCCTTGGCATCCTTGGAGTTACTTTTCGAGTCAGCCTCTTTTTTATTTTCCTTGCTATCAAAAATGTAACTGAGAAGACAAAAAAAGCCACACGTTCATCATAATGCAAACTCTCATGCATACAGAGAAAATATTTGAAACATGTAAAGGTATGAAAGATATGGTATCACACCGGTGATGCCGGAAGAATACAAAGTCCCGTTGGTTGTGAAACGTTACAACTCGCCGACCACGAAAATTAGGATCTTGAGGGAATAGTGATTGAATTAATCTAAAGAAACAACACAACAATAGAAGCCAACAAATTGAGAAAAACTTGAGAATAGAGATATCATAACCACAAAAGAGTAATAAACCAGAAAAATAACACGAACCCCAAAATCTGAAATGCAACCTTAATAAGAGGCAGTATTTCAAAAAAATCAAGTAACTAAGATACAGAAAGCAACCTTCCAACACGGAGACCAAGGCGTGTTGTGAAGTTGGTCAATACAAGCTCTGGCTCATGGCTGGTTGGATTTCCATGATTCTACAAGCAAGCATAGATAAAATGGTAAAAGTTTCATGGAATATTTATTCCTCCAGATAAACATAGTACTAGTAACAAATAACACAACAATTCATAAATGGAACTAAGTGGAGAATTATTGACCTGAACCAGATTACCTTAATATCCTTTCGTAAGACAACATTTGATATCTTAAAATGGGCAGTAGGTCCCTCAGGTAAGCCAATGATTAGAAGGCCATCTGAAAGAATTTCAAAACAATAATATAGACTGAGGAAATAATCTACCTAATACAAACAATTCATAAATGAGAGAACATGTCTGCAAGGGATGAAAGAACATGCAAGAAGGAACTACAAGGATTGCGAAAGATTATCATCTACCTAATTTTCTCCTACTCGTATGAACAACCATCAAAGAAGTGAAGTCCTTGGCATTTGCATATTCGATAATCTACAAGCAAAAGAAGAAACGAGCAAACAAATAAGTTATCACCCCAATAACAAGCTGCAAAATCTTTCTTCTGTATTATTCTTGTTTTTCTTAATTTCCCTTGTCCTTCTGTGTATAAAGATAAACATATATGAGCATAACCTTCTTCAAATCGTTAGTTCCTCTCTTGTAGTAATGTGCATTTGGAATCACTGAAAGCAACTCTGATATAAAAGAAGGTCCAATCTGCAAATAGCAAGTCACATACAAAGAAGATTTAAATATAACGTACCAAATTTGATCAAATGTAGATGCTTTAGGTTGCTTTCCATCAAATGCAGGTTTCTAAAAACAAAATTATTGTTTAACTAGTAATAATGAAGGGTCTTACAGAAGAGTTAAAACGACAAGTAGTTATTAGAACTTTTGGCAAAGTGTGGCGCTTTATGATCGAACTAAATTCATCGGCATCATTTCCTGCAAATAGCTGCAGAGAACAAAAACTCGACATATTACAAAGGTGTTCCCTACTAAATGTGACACACACACATATATACATACATAAACAAACAGTACAAAACATTTCATATATTATGATTTGAAAAAACAAACAAAAAACCTCTTCATCATCAGGTTTGCAAACAGTCTCATCAACCTCCCTGGTGTTCTCAATGGTGCGAGGAATCATCCTGGGAGGAGGCTACAGAAAGGATAAAAATAGATTAGAAGACAAAGTCAGAATCCCTAAGATAGTGGATACATAGATTAAATGAGTAGATGATGTGAATGTGATACTTCTTCTCCAAGTTCAAGAGCTTGCTTTTCAGAGGCATCACGAGCCTTGGCCCTCTTGCGTTTCTCAAGCTTCTTCTGCTGCTTGAGGTTGGCGTGCACTTCTTTCCTCTTTTCCTTGTTCTTTATCATTGATGGGATAATATCCCTCTTGTTCTTTTTTTCCTCTCCCATTTGTATCTCTTTGTTCAACCTCTAACATAAACTAGAAATTGATGAAAGAGAACAAATTATGAGACAAGCAACTATGGGAGAAAGCCATAAAGAGAAGAAAGAAGAACAAATTTTTTATCTCCCTCGTGTCAAATTTCAATTTCAGCGAAAGGTGGACAGAGTCCAAATTTATTCATTTATATCTCAAATATTTTGTAGCTCAACTTCAAGGATAAGTCAATTAAAGGTAATCAATGGAATATAATTTGAGAAAAACTAACTTTTTGTATTAAAAAAGACAATGTAAGTATGAAATCAAAGAATAATATCGATCAAGCAAGCATGTCCCTAGGAATTTGGAAAAACATAAATCGAAGCCAAAAAAATTTCAACTAAAAAGAAACTTTAGGGAAACAAAAAATTAGAAAACAAAAACCTAACTGACTTATATTTCATACTATCAATAAAATATTGTTTCATACCACAAAAAAAAAAAACCTAATTGACTTAAATCTACATAATAAACACAAGTGAAGTTGAGAAGTAAATCATATATCATATAAACAATGGTGGTCCACTGTTAAATAAAACGAGGGTATGTTCAAACTTAAGTCAAGCTTGGTTAAAGTATATATCCTCGACCAAAAGATGGAACATTTGAATCCCCACCCCCATTATTGAACTCAAAAATAGAGGGGATGACGAGAGCATTTTTCTCATTATGGTTACACTAACATTACAACATCACTAACAATTGTTACGATTTTTGAACTTCATCAAAGTTATCAACCATCAACATGAATAGGTTTGGAGGTGCCATCCATTTGCTCAAATGTTACTAGCAAAAAAAATGTTAAAGTTCGGATTTTGCGAGAATTGAAAAACACGATCAGTTCAGATGTATGAATAGACCATCGGTGACAAACTTAACCAATTGGGTAACGGTTTCTTAGTTGGTTGTTTGTTTTTTCTTTTCCTTCTTCCTTCTTCCTTCTCCTACCTCTCCCTCCTCCTTCAGTTTCTGTGCCATAGATCACTGCCCTACTTTTCAACTATCAAACTTTTGTACAGATTTTGAAACAAAAATGCTAAACTAAGTTTTCACAAGAATATTTTCAGAATAAATGCACCATACGATCTATCAGTACCATATTACACCTATACAAATAAAACTACTTTTCAAAAACATATAAAACAAAACCTACAGATTGACTGGTGGAGACTGAGTAAGAACAACAAACAGACGTCAGGTAGGGGGCGGCTAGTACGAGCAGCAATGAAAGAGGGAAATCTGAAGACAGTGATCGAGCACTGAAGATGAAGATTGAAGGAGGTACAGCGCAGAAGTGGAACTGAAGAGAGAAAAAGAATCGGTGGGCAGCGCTAAAGTGAAGAAAGAATTTGAAGGAAGCCCTACTTGTGCCTCTCGACTTTGGGGTAAGTTTTCAACTTCCATGGACAAAATCATGGGGAATGGTCCGGCCAAAGAACAAACGGATGAACTTGAAGAAGCTTTTTGTCTATTTGACAAGAACAGAAATGGTGGGTCACTTTCTTTTTCTTCTACAGCCAACATCATAGTTTTCAATTCAATTATATTCTGGATAGTTATCTAAAAACATTAAAGAACAATGGTTCACTATTCGTACTGTAAAGAACTACAGTTACATTTTTAAAGTGGTCATTTTTTACCTGTAGTGTGATTTCGAATGTAGTGTGTGGGTGGAGATTCATGCTGCGCTTTACAAACAATGCCATTCTTTTACTGCAAATGGGTTTTTCAAACAGTTACAATCTCTGTTTTCTTTTGTCACTCAATAAAACGAATTTTACTCTTCCCTATCCGATCAGTGTATAATCATACTGTGGTTACTCCTTCAATATTACTGGGCATTAACTCAGGGATGGGTATGAACCAAACAGAAATTATCTTGCAACCCAGATGAGACAAGTAGCTTAAATTTCATAAATTTATTTAGTGCGCAAATATTAGAAAAACTAGATCTCAAAAAGAAAGCTAATCGAATTGAGGGTGATGTAACCGTTAATTGGTGAATAGATGAATTACCTTGCAATCCAGAGCGCAGAAGCTGAAGGAATCGAGGAGGCCGCAGGTGGAGCGGCGCCGGTGGAGAGCGTTGATCGTGGTTCGTTCACGGAGAGAGGGAGTGGTTTGCTGGGTCGTGACTGGTGAGGGCGGCGCTTAGGAGTTGGGATTTAAGGACGCAACTTTTTGTAGGTTATAACGAAACCAAACCGTGGTTCGGTTTACGTTTCACTTTAATCGAACCGGTTCGGTTCAAGTTGGTTTTCAAGGCAATTCAGTTTATCCTTACGTTTAAATTTGATTTTTATTCGGTCCATAAGTACAGAAACAAGTTTAAATTTAGTTTCTAATTAATATAGGACCAATTTTGTTTCAATTTAGTTTCTAATTAATATAGGACCAATTTCAACAAGTATACTAAACTAAATTAAAACTTTAAGTATATGAAATTTTGAAAGTGCTTCTCATGTAATTTTTTAACTCTAATATCTATCCTATACGTCTTTGAAATATAGTAGATCTATATAATAAATTCAACATTTTTCATTATTGAAATTTGTGTATAATAAAAACTTAAACTTAAATCTAGCAAAAAATTTAGGAAAAGAATTCAGGTAACTACCCTCCTATTTAAATGAGAATTGTAGGATTAAAATTTTTTTAAGCATCCAAAGTCTTGGGTGGCTCTCACACTCGGAAGAAAAATTTGAAGAACTTGCTCATGTGATTGCTTGGTCAATTTCGGTTCTTCTTCTTCCTTCTTTGAAGCACAAATCGTCGAGGTAAATTTTATATGCATTTGAGTCCTATTTTCTGCTGTGTTAAAGGGGTTAAGACGAGTAACATTTTTATGGTTTTAGGAGTTAGGGTTAGTGTAAAACGTACTAACATGATCGTGCTTGGAATCTGTCGACACATAGATATTTCTATGTATCCATGAGTTGAACATAAGAAATAAATCGGCATATCACAAAATATGAAAAATATCAACAAAATCTCACTAATAAATACATATTAATTACTTTTCTAAATTTATTTAGAAATAGAAAAATGTTGTTTTGCTCATTTAAATATTTTTTATAATTTTTATAATTTCTTTAACTTTTACATACTACATCGACATTTAAAACCTTGGGAGTAACTAACAGAGTTTTTTTTCCCCTCGGCCGAATGCGGATTCTGCCATATTTACAGTTTATCATTCTCTTCTTCATTGCCCAGCTATGGAGATCAATTTTAAGCCATAATTGAACCTAACCAAAACTTGTCCCATTAAAATACAGTTTTGTAACTTAATTCATATATCCAATGTTTGGATCGAGACTATCTCAAACATCAACTTCGGATCACAGCAGACCTACTAAATATTTGGGCCACAAGCCATTTAATGTGGCGCTGTTCACTTTCTACCATTTTTTCTTCCTTCAACTCATTAAAACCTAATAAATTTTATTGTTAAAACACGAAAGAAAGGAAAAAAAAAAACTTTTTTTAACCCTTTGTAATTCTAATTTCTTAACATTTAAAGCAAACGAAAACTTTCCATATAACTCCATTTTTCAAATATGGAAACATAAATGAAAAAAATATAAAATAATATAACTTGAAGCACCAACCATTGTTTTATTAAAAATAAAACACCAATAATGGTATAAACCAAATATATTAACAATAAACATAATAGTAATAAAGTATATTTGGTGCACACTGATGTCTTTTAATGTGTCAACAACATACACAATATGTATACTTAAAACATCAATAATAAGTATAAATCAATATACCTAATATAAATGATGTATATTTTAAATAACTCATCTAACTACTTCTGAAAAAAAATCAAACGAGTCAGTACCATCAAAATCATCTTCTTCAATATAATGAAAGTTATCACATATATCAAAACAAATTCTTTATTCTCAAGTACATTGCCTATATTCCTATAGTTCTCAAGATATATCATTCAAAACTATTAATTAAAAAAAAAAAGTCACTATATTGTATTTAAAATACAAGAGGACATTCAACCAATGACAGGTGTCAAAATGGAGAATGATGCGGCATAGATGATAATCACGGAAATGATTTTAAAACATTAATAACAATAGGAATGTAATTAAGTTACAATAATAAGATCCTTGAACTATATATATATGTATGCGGTTGTATCGTGATACCAGTCGAGGTACATGAAAGCTGGCTTGGACAGTCACAAATATAAAAAAAAAAAGGAAAAAATACCCTTTGGTCCATGAGGTTTGGAGTAGATGTCCCTAAAGTTTAAAAATGAACATTTTTGGTCCTTGTGGTTTGGTTTAGGTGTCTATTTAGTCTCTAAGTTTCAAAATATACCCTTTTGGTCTTTAGGAGTTTGAAAAATAGCTCTAAATGATCATTTGACTGTTAGTGGCTTTATGTCCCTTTTCTCTTCCTCTTTCTCTTTCTCTTCCTCTTCCATCTCCGACCATTTTTATAAGCGAAGGCACCAAACTCGACCGTCAGTTCTTGTCCGCTTGCTTCGAGCCTTGACTGGACTGAGGGTTTTGAAACAAGGTTGCAAAAAGGGGACTGTGGGTTTCCAGTTTCACGTCGACAGCAACGACCTCCTCAAACGATTTCAAGAGCGCAGAAATTTCGACAGAGGGGAATGGGGTGGAGAATCCGAAGAAAGAATCTTCAACGAAATGAGAAAGCCATTAGAGGCTTGCCAAATTTGTCTTCCTCGTCCTCAACGATTTCCTCATCTCTTCCTCAACAAATTCGTCTTGGTTAGAAAGATTTCCTCATCTCTTCCTCAACAAATTCGTCTTGGTTAGAAAGATCGAGAAGTTGGTCGAAGAAGTCATCAAAAGACACAACATTGTGACAATTAAAACAACAGCCATTTTGATCGAAAAAAATCTGGGGGATAATTTGATGGGCATTTTCTTGGGGAACAAGTGTTGAGAGCCCATTGAACGCATTCCATTTGCAGCTATTTCGTGCACCATGTTGAAGCAGAAACAAAAAAAAGATTGAAAAAAAACCTCTTTCTTTCATTTACCGTTCTTAGGATATGGGTTTTCTTGTTTGGATTTCAATCTCTTTTTGGGGGAATGAAATTAAGCAAGAAAGGAGTTCTTGGGATACAATTCTTAAAAGGGTGCACGAAATTAAGGAAGAAAGGGGTTTGTGGGAGAAAGAAATTAAGAAAGAAAGGGATTTTGGGGGGAAAGAGAACCCATATTCCAAGAACTCTACCTGAAGATAGGATGAGATAAGGATGAGAGAAGGAGAGAGAATTGCGTGTGACTTTGAATTTTGGGAGTGGTTGCAAAAGAGAAAAGAGAGAGATGAAGTAAAGAGAGTCACGACGTGGTTGTGGTTGGCAGTATAGAGCCACGACGCGATGATGGTGCCTCCGCTCACCATCGACGATAGGCAATGGGTAAAGATAGAAATGGTCGGCCGTCGTTGGTTAGAGACGAGAGAGAAAGATAAGAGAGAGGAAGAGAAGAGGTATAGAAAGTCACTAACAGAGACTATTTTGTAAACTTTAAGAACAAAAATGTATATTTTGAAACTTAAGATTACACCAAATCTCAGGAACCAAAAGTGTTCAGACCCCTACTCCAAACCTGAGGGACCAAAATCATATTGTTCCCCAAAAAAAACCATAAGAGTTAACAAAACCTATAAAAAAAATCTAGAAATTGAATATTCAAATATAATTAATTACTCAATCAATTAATACCATATTTTGAAACCATTATACAGCCATGGTATACAATATCATTGATCATCAAAGCCAACAGTAAATAACATATAGTGAAGAAGTCAATTGCAAAACTTTTTCAACCTTCCTCAAGTGAAGGCTTCGTTTCTTTTTACTGAACTAGAACTGTACCCCTTCCTCATCTATCACCTTTTAATCTTCACATCATAACGTTAAAAGAGAATCATGCAGTTCTTCTAGCGTCTACCGACATTACTGACCTCCTTCACCTCCAATTGATAACATTTCTTTCTCCCTACACAGCAGGACTCTCAATTATTCACTGGAGATCATCATCATAAAAAAGATTCTAGAATGAAGCCTATACAGTTTTCTAAGTGTAGGATGAAAATGGTTACCCATTATTTATCCATTGAAGACAAAATTCTTTTAATGAATAGATCAAAAGGTTTCCATATTTGACCGAAAACCTATTTGATTAAAGTTGCGCTACTGAAACCAGCCCCCGAGAAGAACCCCACATTAAACAGGTGCATTAGCTTGAGTGGTTTTAGCAATCAACACTACCAAACCATAACCCTACACCCTATCTAGAAGTTTCCAGGTACATATCAAATTATTGGTACAGCCCAAGCCGTCTTGTCAAATATCCTAATGCATCTAATATTTTCTTGATTCCAATAGATGATAAATGAAATCCCAAGAACTCTTGGGTGGAGAGGTCATGAGAGAATGTTTGAGATTTAGTTAGATTTAACACCTCCTTATGGGTGTCAATTTTTAAGGCCTTCTAATTATCAATTAGATATGTTCCTCTTTTGAATTCGGGTCCCTTCTTGAAGGTGGTGGTGGACTTGTTTTACATATGCCCCTCTTGTGAGAAAGGCCCGAACCCTACCAACCAAGTCCAAATAAAAAAGAAAGAGAACGAAAGGAGAAGAGAATTTCGTTGTATTCTTTCATATTTCTCGATGAAAGCTAGGTTTCTTATAAGAAAAAAATATATATATCTCAAAACTTTTAAAGGCTCCAGGTACATATCAGATTAGTTAGCTAACTAAAAACAAGAACTTCCCAAGCGACTAACGGCCCAACAGTCAAATGACCAATAATAAAGCTGTCAGAACAACTAATCAACAATTAACTGGGAACCACAATAAAAACAACTGTTATGAATGAGTAGGTTACAGAAGCAGCAGTAAAAAATAAACTTGAAATGTGCTAATGGATTACATAACATCCCCCTTATTTTCTTTTACTACTCAAGATTCCTTACAATATGGCCAAAAGGGAATGAAGAGATTACAAGAGATGTGAATATAATCTGAGGTAGCCCATCAAATGAACTAGAAGCTTTTTTCTCTTCCATCGAAGTAGGAGAGCTTGGCATTATAAGGCAGAGAAATAATGATTTGTTGACCAAGTGACAGTGAACCATTCTCACATCATTATTCCATTTGAAGTAGGAGAGGTTGGCATTCTAATGCTTCGATCGGGAATGACCAGCTCCTCTTCTCAGCATTTGATGCTTGGACTATTGATGATCTGATCATTATCACCTCATTATTCAAAAAAGCTATGGACTCAATACAAACTACTGCAATTTGCAAAAGTGAGTTATTGGGCTTAAACATTCCAGAAAAAGAGTTACATACTTTAGCGTCAAAGGTGGATTGCAAATTTAGAGTTTGGCCAGCCACTTATCTAGGCTTACCGTTGGGAGGGGACGCCCAAGACCACCTCCTTCTCGGCCCCGACCATTGAACGTACTCGGAAAAAGATTCATAGCTGGAAATATTCTTTCATTTCAAAGGGAGGCCATCTCACTCTAATATAATCCACCCTATCCAACTTGCCTACTTACTAGATGGCTCTCTCTCGTATGCCCACAAAGGTGATCAATCAGATGGACAAGATCTTGAGAAATTTCCTATGAGAAGGCCCAAAATTGGAAGGAGGTTTACATAACGTTAACTTGAAAATTGCCCAAAGACTGATAGATATGGGGAGTCTCGGGGTTGGTAATCTTAGACAAAGACATCGCTAATAGCCAAATGGGTTTGGAGATTCAACATGAAAGAGCATGCTCTGGTGCAAAGCAAAATAGTGCATGCAAAATACTACCTTTCACATCATGATTGCCAATGGCCCCTCCAAGCAAAAATTCATCCAAGGCCCCCTGGATTAATATTTCAAATCTGTCCAGCAAGAGAGAAGAAAAAGGATAATTGGCAATGGCAAGGAAACTTCCTTCTGGAAAGACAAGTGGAATGAGGTGGGATCTCCGGCCTATGTTTACCTGAGGCTTTATAAGCTTTCCATTTTCCAACCGAACGGATGCAAATTTTTCAGAAGTTTCGAACAAAAGCTCTAAGTCATGGCAGATGGATTTTCGAAGAAACTTAAAAGAGAAAGAAATCTCAGAATGTGGGCCTTCTTATCTCATTTATTATCTTCGGTGACTATAAGAGAGGAACCTAACAAATGGTTGTGGATCCTTGACTCATTCATTACAAAGTAAAATCCCTCCTCCAGAACTTGATTGATTACCAGAATGGTGGCCAATATCGTTCTGGAGCAGTAAATTCCCAAAGAAAAAGTTTTTCCTTTGGGAGCTTTGTCACGGAGGCGTCAATACAGGCAAGAGGATGCAAAGAAGATGCCTTACTAGTCTTTATCACCCAGTTGGTGTGTTTTTATGTAGAAAGAATTCAGAGACCCACAGCTATCTCTTCATTCACTGCCCATTATTTTGGTTGAAGATGAAGGATTCCAATTGGGTAAAAGATAAGAAAAACTATAGTAGTGGAAGAGAGGAGAGGATTTACACCAATTGATAACAATTAAAACTATAGTGTCAAAAAATCGATCAAATGAGTGATCCTTCCCTTTGAAGAAACAACTGCATATTCAAGGACAATTTGATTCTCTTTACAGCATTCTCTTGGTGTAAATATCTACATCCTTTCAAGGATTATAGTATTACTAACCTCGTTTCAAAATGGAGAAGTAATTTTGTAATCCATCATAGATGGCCGGAAGGCCTTTCCTTCCTTTTGTTCTGAATCAATGAAATCTCAGTTTCTTTTTWAAAAAAAAAAAGTTTGTGAACCAAATTAAAAGGCTAACTCTATAGTTCATAATTATTGTAGCTAAAGAAGCATATTCCATTTCATTGCCAGATGACAGTTTTTCCACCACACTAACAAGGCTATAAGCTCTGAATAAATAAGAACAATTCCATACATGATTCTTGGATCCAGGTTCCTGTTAGATGGACTCTAAAATCCAAGAGAAATTTAAATAAGTATGAGAGGCTTTGAATGAATAAGAACAATTCCATACATGATTCTTGGATCCAGGTTCCTGTTAGATGGATTCTGAACTCCAAGAGAAATTTAAATGAGTATGAGAAGCTGAGTGGATATTTCTCATGGTCAAAGGATGTGGAGGATTTAAAAGTCAGAAATGTAACGTAGCTATTCATTCTAGCTAGAGTGAGGAGATACGGGAGGCCAATTATTTGAAGAAATTGAAGGAGTTTGTTTAGACCTTCCCTTGCACAAATTCTCGGCGTCGAGAGAGATTTTAGGAGGTGTAACTTGTAACACGTAGAATAAGTTGTGAGGACAGTTTCCATTAATTTTGTGTGGCATTCTACCTCCACCATCAATCTGTGGAGAGATACTTTCTAACTAGTTCAGTGTCCAAGTTGTTCTTTTTAGGAATTTGTAGGATTCCTCAATGCCAACGCTTTCATATACAGGGCAAGAACCTTTTTTTACTACCATAGCTATTTCATAAGAACTTTGGTCTGAAAGTAACAGAAAAGCTCTTCAACGAAAGATAGGCATGTTTTGGAGCTTTAGGTTCTTATTGACTATGTTGCCTCTTCGTGAATTGCCACATCCCTTTTCTTTCCATATTTCATATTTTCATTCTTTTATTGAAAATTTTTTATTGTGTCAGAAAGGGTAAATATATAATTTGGTCCCTACAATATATTCCATTTTTCAACATTTTCCCTAATGTTATAAAAGTTTGAATTTTACCTTCATGTATCAAAAATTCCCACTCAATTATGATTTTGAAATTGGAAAAAGAAACTATGATTTTCTAAGTGGATGAAAATGCTATACATCCACCTCATCATACCCTAAAAGACTTTTTCATCAGGAAGGGCCGGTGAGATTTTGTCATCAGTAAGATAAGATAAATATTTAACATTCCAAATTATTCCGCTCATAGCCAAGACAATATATTCAACCGTCACACTACCGTTCCTTTGTTCAACTTATTCGATTTCAATGATGTTGTTGAAGAGAAACTTCATTAAAAAAAAAAAATGTATGCCTTTAAATGAAATTGAAACTTCTAACATATTAGAGACAAAAACTAAAAAATGATCCAAACTTCTAGACCTAGCAAAAAAAAAAAAGGTCAATTCACCGGACAAACTTAACAAAACTTACAAAATTTTCAGTCTACAGATTATTCCTCCGGTTTTCGAGGCGTATTCTTGTTGCCGTATATCAAACCAGTTTCCTGACGAAAGGAAGGAAAAAGAAAAAGATCAAACTTAAGTAATTCAAATTTCAAGAAACCTATGATATACGAAGCCCGAACATTCATCGAAAGATCACAATCGGTGCAAGTAATTCAGAAATTGAACTACCTGAGGATCGGGAATAGGTTTCCTCTTCTCAATATACCGATGAGGATCCGTGTCTGCAAGAGCAGCCCTTTCCTGAGAGAAAGCAAAGCATGAAGGATCGGAAATCACCAAAAATTTCGAGAGAATGAAATCAAAGTCGAGTGGAGAGGGAGAGGAACCTGCTGTTCGCGTTTAAGATCTTGGGATGGCTTGACCCAGAGGAAGTAGGCGAGGGTTCCGGCGACAATCCAGGAAGCGAGATTGCTACCGCCTCTGAGACCGCCCATTGAATTGCCGATGAAGGACCTGACATTCCCGAACGATCTTCTCCAACTGCTGGCCATTGTAGAGAGAGAGAGAGAGGAGAACGGAAACTGAGGAAGTATTGAATTCAAATGACGAACTCCATTTGGGAGAGAACAGAAGAGAAGGCGAGAGATTGAGTTTTATGGGTTTCGGGGGTTTGGTTCAATCGGCGGAATGAACTGCCAAATATCAAAATATCAGTTTGCTTAAACAAGGTGCGCAAAGCCACGTGTTTTGTTTTGTTTTAATGTACTGTAAAAAAAAGAATATATATATATTTTTTTAATTCAGATCCGACCTTTTGATTAGACTAATATCTTAACAGGTGATTTACACGTAGTAACTTATTTTATTTAATCTTAAGTGAGTATTGTTTGTGTCCCTGAATTAATGCAATAGAATTATGTCTATTCTAATAATAAAATTAATTTATCTAATCCAAGTGAATATTATTTGTGTTTGAGACTATTCTATTTTAAGCATATTTAAATCTCATTATTGTTTATAAACAAACTAATAATTATTTATTAAAATAAAATATTACATAATTGTTGGACAATATCATTTTGCAATTCAAATAAAAAAAATTTAGTCCATTATACTCTTTACCAAGGGAAAGGAGGAAGAAAAACAAACTAATAGGTTATGTAAATGTTTTGTGTTTAGAAAAAGAGATGGAAGAACTTTTGATATAGTTGTAGAAAATGAAGGAAGTTGTACAACTATTAAATCGTTAATAATTATAATTAAAGATAATATCATAAATTTTAAAATTGCTTTTTAAATTTTTTTTTTGCAAAGGATTTTAAAAAAATTGAGAAAACTTTCCTATATTCAAACTTAATTATCACATTTTTGTCATTTAAATTTATGAAATAATTAGTTTAAATATATTGTTATACTTTTGTTACTTTACTATTAATATACATATAACTTTTTTAAATTTCATTATTAATTATAATTAAAGATATAATTATAAATTCTATAATTGAATAAATTGACAAAAATTTTATATTCAGACTTTTTACTTTTTGTCATTTAAATTTTATGAAAAAATTAGTGTCAATATATTTTTAAAAAATTAAAGTGTTTTGATAATTTAATAATGTTATAATCTATAATTAAAAATAAAATCACAAATTTTTAGAATCAACTTTAGGAATAAATTGACAAAAATTTTAAATTCAAACTTTTTAATTTTTTTAGTTGTTAACTCAATGTGTATTTTGAACTTTTATTATTAATTATAATTAGAGATAAAGTTGTAAAATTTAAAATTTATGACTTTATTAAAAGTGAAAAATCATAAATCATAAATTTTAAAAGTCAATATTTTGAAAAAATAATATAAAAAAATTTAATTTGTAATGACAAATTTATGAATACATGTGATAATTAGTTTCAATATATTTTTATATTTTTATTTCATTAGCCCAATTGACATGGATAACCATTAGTAATATATTGAAATATTGACTTGAGAGGTGAAACTCTTCGATATATAAAAAAGTGTTGATATGTAATACAAATCGAGTATAGCTCAAGTGGTTAAGGCACCTTTCTGACTCACCGTTCATGAGTTTGAACCCCCACCCCCACGTATTGTATCAAAAAAATAAAAAAACAATATATTTATGTTTTACCATACAATTTATATATATATATTTATTTATTTATTTATAGTAACGGTTTTTAAAATATGCAAATATTTTGATTGGTGCAATTTGCAATATTAAAACAATTTTGTAAGTTTATAGGGGCCATCCATCAAATTGGAAGTCAATGATGAAAGTCATGAAAGAAAAAAGAAACAATCCTAAATTTAACTTCTTACCATTGAAATGAATTGTAAATGACTTGATTTATGTTTTATGTTTTTTATTTTTCTGATTTTGTATTTTTTTAGTTTTCAATTTTTAAAAAACAATTTTTTTCCAAGTTCTGATTATGTTTTTAAAAAATTTAAAAGTTGAAGAGATATATTAGAAATAAAAATCTATGTAAAGTAGACATGTCAACTACGGATTTCGAGAATCAGAGTCTAGGTCAAGGAATCCTCATTCTGGGACGAGGATCTTTGTAGGAAAAATTAACGGTTTGGTAATTAACTTTAATTATTTTTAGTATTTAAAAATAAAAGAGTAATAAATATACAAAAATTTATCATTTACTAGTTTAAATACGTCCTTACATTCCATTTAGGATTAGGAATAGGTGAAATCGGACCTGTTTTTTACATATCTCTCGTTATTTGGGACATTAGTTTTTAAAAAACATATTTGATATTTTATTCTTAATTTAGTAAAAGAGTTAATAAATAATATATTTATTATTTAAAAAATAGAATTGAAGTTAGGGCACGGAAAATGTATTCTTTGTTTTTGGCTACTCGATCCTACAAGGATTTTTATCATCTTTCATGTCGGGAGACATGAAAATGGGACACTAAATATCTCTTGCATTGGAGAAAAATGACAATTTTAGAGTTACAAGAGAATTAATTTTTGGAGAACCAAAAAAATCAAGAGAATAGGTTATGAGTTTTTTTTTTTTTTGAAGTGATGAGGAAGAAGATGAATTTTACTGGTAAAAAAATACGTGCAATTGTGTAGTTTTAATATATAGTAATATTTGCACATACATATGTCTATGTTGTTAATTTTGAGAGTATGGATTTGAAGAATGGTACGAATAACTTAAAAATTATTATCTTTGACCTATCGGTTTGATCCAGACTTTTGTTGTCTTCATCGAAATTCCTCTTGATAGTGAAACATAAAGTCGTCCATGAGAAAACACATGTTGAGGAAGATATATTCCATATGAAATTATTTGTCCCTGTGCTTTGTTAATTTGTCATTGCAAAATATAGACGGATGGAGAACCGCTTTATTTTGAATTTGAATGGATATCCAACATCATTTGGTGGACTTAATGGTATTTGTGGGAGAAAAACTTGTTTCCGTACATGATCTTCCATTGCTATTTCAACATGTATAATATTTTTGCCAAATGATCAACGCACCAAATCTTGTCCCATTGCATAATCCAATCCAAAATTTTCAACAACATAATCGGACAATTGACATTTAACATAAATTTATATGGTGGTATTCCATTTGGTAGTAGGGAATTCAAGAACTCCTCCTGATAGTAAGCATTAGTGTTATCAATTGTCTAGTCAAAGCTAATGACTAAAGCTATCATCTGGTAATAGGAAATTCAAGAACTCTTCCTGCTACTCCAAATGTTGCAGTTGTCGAAGTTATCATTCCATTTGACCTTATTATAGCTAAAAGTGCTTGATACAGAAGTGGTTTTCCAATTTCTCTAGGACCATCTATAAAGAATGATGCACATCTATCTGTATCAATTGTTTCGAGGGTTAGATTATAGCAATATTCTACTCATTGTTCAACTTTAATGACATTTGGATATCCTCTTCATCTATTGTAATARATTCTTCATCTATGATTTCCTTGCTAGAAATGTTTTCATGATCCTGAATTTCCTCATCCATTTGAGGTAGGTCAAATTGTCCAATATGTTTTCTCATTGACTCCAAAAAGAAATTCAAGTCTTTAAGGACTAATTGAATTTGTATGATTGTCGTGTAATTGTCGTTTGCCTTATAATCTTCAACCATATGTTTCCAATAAAATTTCTATAATGTTCGAACTTCTATTGGCTAGCAATATACCGATAAAGTAGCAAAAAGCTTTTGAGATGCATATGTCATTTGAATAATTGTAGCTTCATTTAAGCACCCTTCCAAACTTTGATTAGATTCAAGCAAGCCTCTTTTTTGTACTGACCCTTTGAATGTAAGAAATTGTCTCCCTTCAACTGTTAGCAAATGTTGAAAAGACATTGGCGTCATGGTTTAGTAAAAGTGTGAGGTAATAACTTTTTCCTTCAATTAGATTTGCTCCATTAATTCTAAATATAACATATACCTTTTTCCGGGGCATCCATTCTTTTACACTTTTATCTCATACATACTACTCTGGAAAATCTTTGTAAAACAATTTTCTAGCATCTTCATATGTTTGACACATTTGAAAATATTGTGTCAACATTGTTTTTGAAGCATATTCAAATCCAATGAGACGTTGTAAATTATAGTTCTCCGAATATGAAACTAATTGTTGATTTGGAAGATGCAGTTGTGGATTTATAACTGAATGTTATCATTCAGCCTAAAGTCAAAATTTCTCCATAATGCTTCTGGTGTTGAAACTCATCTTACACCTTGAAAGTCTTATATCTTATTAACAAATTTGTCATAATCATCATTTGTTATTGTAACTGATGCTTTATATATATATATATATATATAATGATCTGGATGTCTTTAAATGACCTAATTCAAGGATCTAAAGATCTGAGTATATGGATTATTCTAACCATTAACTTTTTTGTATGTTATTTATCAAGACTTCCAAAATATATCGTAGTTATGATGTATGATTCAAGGGCAGTTCGAGATGATATGAGGTCTTAGGCAAAACTTTGATCGAGAGGCCTTAATGTACGAAATATTATCTAAAATTTATTTTTCTTAGAGATACAAAATATGTATTAAATTTTGATGATCTAATTCATAAATATGACCAATCCATTTAATCTTTCTTGTGACAAAGTTGTCCTTAAATACGATTTCATTAATTTTAATTTTGAAAAGCTTAAGAATAAGTATTGTTAATAATATTCTATAAGCAATAAAAAGCATTTACATTTTTTATATAATTTAATATTTTAATAGAACAGTCAATTTCATTTTGCAAAACTTCTCCTAATATTTTTAATTCAAAAAATAAATCTAAACCACTAATGTCAGAAAATGTATTTTCAAGATTAATACAATATCTTTTCAAATTATCATCATCTAATGGCTTTAAAATTTTCATATAAAGATATTTTTATATACGTAAAATTATTCAAATCTATTTTTAAGTCAAAAAATTACTTGATCTATAATAATATAATAAAAGTAACAAATTCTAGAAGAATCTTGCGATGTCCAGTTCTCTTTTCACGAAATATTGGTTGTATTTTCAAATCATTTGTAATTTTCTTAGCTGAAATTATAGCAGTTGTAAATCTATTTTCTCTTTACTTCCTCTCTAGTTTTTTTTTTCAATACTTCATTTTCAACAGCCATATTATCATCTAATAAATTTTTCCATCTCTT